CAATGGTAAAATTAGCCCAGGAATATTTTTCACTTAATGTGCGGCTGTGGTTTCATTAGTAAAATTTTGAGTAACATAGGCCTAAATTATTGATCGTCGCTCTTGGCCAATCAAAATCAAGAGATCGTCGCTCATAGCCAATCAAAATCAAGAATCATCCGTGACTAGGTTCAATCTTGAACCACGTGTTTTGAATGCTTTCATAGAAGTTGGACAGGTTGGATTATGAGGAATCGGATTACAGTACACAAAATCAACCCATTTTGATCACTCTTGTATTCATGATATATTTGAGGAAATTTTAATTTATAAACGTAGGTTGATATTAACGAGGGTCATGTGTACTAGATGAATGTAGTCATCTTTGCACTTGTTAACTGAAATAGAAAAGAGCATGAATTGGCATCATTTGTAAAACAAATAGAATAGCCAACAGTTTATTGGGTTTGTTCGTTCGAACTTATAAGAAGAGAATAACTGTCCAAGTCATACCGTAATTTTGTATCTGTTATGGTGTTTGTTATAAGCAGGCTTTTAAAAAATATATCAAGAATTTCAATGAAATAAATTTATACGTAGCACAAAAATAATAGGTTGACGAGTCGAATAATCGTGCATTATTAATTGATTATTATTACGTTTCTTATACGTTAACTATATTACAATCATATCCAAATCATCGAAGCGGGGCTTAAATCATAGGTTCTTAAGCGCATAATTATTTTGGGTCCTTATTTGTAATAATTTTCAAATATCAGGCCTCTATCTGTAATTATTTTCATTTTGAGCCACTTATTTGTAATTATTTTCGATTTGGGGCATTATCTGTAAATTCTTTTTCTTTTTTAATATCAATTCTATTAATAACAATTAGATATAACTTCTATATTAGAAAGTGAATTTTCGTATAGCAGATAGACGTGAAAAATGCAATCTTAACGTTAATCTGAATAAATATTAAGGAACTAAATTATTTTTCATACTGTATGTTAAAACTGGCTAAACCAGCTAAACCCAGTTTTAACATATGAAAAATAAAACCGGGTTATACCCATTATGAAGTTTCCAATTTTTCTAAGCATTCTATTTCTAATTGAAAAAATCTTGTTTATTTTTTTATAAAAAGAAATTCATATAATAATAAAAAATTTGTAATAGTTTAACTATCAGGTATTTGCTTATACAAGGTATATAGTTACATGAAGCCCCCCAGCAGATCATTCATGTAAGCATTCCCGTTTTTGTTAGCATTCTGTGGTGGAGTAGAATTATTTGCGTTACTCAATGGAAGATTGGGTGAACTATAATTTCCTAAAAAAGGTTGGGACAACGTGTTTGGTTTCAAATTTGGACTGTTATATAATGATAAAATAGATGACTTCAAAGTGTCATGGTTAGATGTAGAAGGTGGAGTTGTTTGGGGATTAGAATTTCCCTGAAGGGGATTAGAAGGTACATTGCTTGTAAGAGGTGGTTGACCTATCGCAAATAGGTCTGCCCCTTTAAGCTGCGATGCTGATGAAGGATTATTTGATGGAACGTTGGATATAGATGAAGGTGCGAAAATATCCAATATATTGTTTTCATTTGTTTTTGAAGGTAGTGAGGATTTCTCCGAAATTTGAGGTTCATTGACAATTTTGGTTGAAGTTGGTAATTCCTGTTAAAAGTTTAGTGTAAAAGATGACATTTGATATTTATTTAAAATTAAGAAATGAAAAATTCCTACTGGTTTATTCGAAAATCCATCGCCTAATGTATCTGGATCGGGTATTGGACCCTTCATTGCCCACCGCTTTAGTTCATATTTGGATCTAATCCAACTGTCAATGTTGCTATAATGAAATAGGTTAAAATTTATATTTGCTTTCCAATATCGATATCTTATAGATTTTGAAAAATTTATAGTTACCTTTCCGAAGGCTGCTTACTTGAGAGATTTGCCTCCCAATAACTTTAAATATAAAATAAAAAACAAATAAACACGATTTTAATTAAAAATTATAACGTGATATCGCCTTGAACGTTTTGTGACATTGCAAAATATTGAAAGTAAGATAGTTAATAAAATTACTTACAGGTTTGCTTTTGCATTGCCCCATCGAGTCATATTCTACAAGAACAAATCGGTGAATTTCAACGAATAAAATATATATACGTACATTTTTTAAAAATAAATAAATAAATAAAATTATAGAGTACTTCGACTTGTTCTGTAGTCCATGTATCCAAATCGACGGACTTGACTGAAAGTATATTAATCACAATTAAGAACAGATAATTTGCCAAATATATTTTAACCAGAGATTTCCATGATAAAATTGCATACCACGACTAATATGGGTTCCCAGAGATCGGTGAGTGCCTGAGCATCTTATGCAGATAAAAATGCCCAAAGACCAGGACGCCCAGCGTGGATCTATATATAAAACAACATTAGCATTACATTTAAATTCATTTATGGTTCTAATGGTGACTAATATAAACCTCTTCTTTTGCAATCTGCACAGTACTTATTTTCTGGCTTGCTCAAGCAACTTGCCAGAATCTTTGCATGTTTCTCATTAAGACTTTTATCGGCAACTCTTTGAAGTCTTGTAGCCATTGAACAAATCTAAATTGACTCGATGAAGACTAATTTACCGTGTGGGTTAAAGGTTCTATATAAAATGTTCGTTTTTTTAATAGTTCAAAGAAAAAGATTGGAAACCAACGTTTAATCTATCGTCTTCCAACTTTAATCAAAGCTGCAATAGTATTGTTATACAACTTTTATTATATATGTTGTGCGTAGTGATGCAGGAGAATTTTCGTAACTATCACTTCATGTAGATCAAAGGTACAGGAGCAAGGTCCCATAAAATTTAATCGAGCGTTTTACAGTATTTAAATGTCGATACAGTATATACATTATGAGATAAAGTTAAATACGTATAAGTTTATAAAGGTTTAATACATTAAAAATTTCTATAAAGCAACGAGCTATGGACTGAAGCAGGCTAAAGTTTTTTACAGTAAGAGAGTATCAAAATGCCAAATATAACTTTTATTAATTAAAAAACTTTCTTTAGATATGAAATATAACAAGCTATATATATACCTTTAAATAACGATAATCTTAAACACTTAAAAAGTTAGTATATCTTTTTTTACTGCAGGGTATAATCATTTACATAGCGATAGTTTGTCTTAGTAAACTCTAAACCGAATCTTAACAAACCGAACACTGAATAAATTATCTAAATTGAACCTTAGAGTTAAACTGAATCTTTTTTTATAAGTCCGCTATCGGTATAGAGATTGTCGACAGTACATGTTTTCTCGGGTTTGATCTTTAAGCTACTATTAGAAGTTTAGAGAAATTTTATCTGACTTCCTAAATTTTTTAAAGGCTATTTTTTTACTCGAAAAAAAGGACAACCCTAACCATTAAAAAGGGTTACTTATACGTAGAAATTAAATAAGCTACCGATATATCTGATATAGTTACGTACTTGGATTACGTATAATACAATTATGATAAATGGCGTAATCAATTTTGGTTTACGCTATCCAATCGAAATGCACTATCTTTACTAGATAAAAATTTATTCCTTATGGATCATAATTGAAATTCAAAACAATTCATTCTTTACATTTAATATGTCGTCTACAAAAAAGACAACTCCCGCTGGAATCGTTACCACCGAAACTAACGAACGCGTTATTCCTGCTAGCCGACGCGCAGACGGTAGTCTTCGTAAGGAGCGCCGTGTCCGCCCGGGTTTCGTTCCCCAAGAAGATATAATACGGTACAAAAATAAATTCGTAGCAGAACGTGAACCCGTTCCTACACCAACTGCCGAACCACCTAAAACTAAGGCGCAAAAGAAGAATGCGAAACGAAATGCAAAGAAGAAAGAAAGTGTTAAAGTGGAGGAGGGAGATAAAGAATTAGAAATGCCTGCTAATGAAAATGATCAGGAAATTGACAATTTACAAAATAAAATGTCAAATATTACGATTTCATCTGAGGATACGCAGAGCTTTTCAGACTCAACAGTGATAACTATAGAACAATTGGAAGCGACCGCGAAAAAAATAAAAGCACTTGAAAAGAAGATAAGACAAATTGAACGAATTAAAGAAAAAGAAGCACGTGGTGAAGTATTACTTGATGAAGAGAAAGAGAAAATGAGCAAATTAACGCAATTTAATGAAGAATTGAATGCATTGAAACTAGGATTGTGACCCAAACTTTTTTTTATTTTATTTTGAATAACGACATTATTACGTAGTTTGTGTTTCGGAAGCAGGATTTCTACTTCATTTGAGATAATAGACAAAACCCGAAGACATGTTCCATTTCGGTTAATAGTATCAAACTCAAAAACAGGTCAAATTTATTATTAATGCTATAAATTATTAAAATTTCGTTTTCATTTTCAAATTAAGGACCCAAGCGTGAGTTAGCGATTAAGAAGGATTATTAGACAAATTGATACATTATCTAATAGTTATATCGGAAATGTACACAATAAGTGAAAAATAATTATAGAAGTTTTTCGCATCCAAAATAAAACTTTTCAAATCATAAATAACTAGCTCTCAGACCCGGGCAATGTTCCGGGGCAAGGTTTTAAATTTTTTAATTCTTTAGCTCTTATGTCTGGGTTCAAATAATCCTAATTTATGAGTCCAGATTGGATTCAAATTAACCCAACTTGGATTCACTTGAACCTGGGTTAGTTCAAATGAACCTGACTTGGGTTCACTTGAACCCGAGTTGGGTTCAAATGAACCTGACTTGGGTACACTTGAGCCCGGGTTGGGTTCAAATAAACCCGGGTTGGGTTCAAATGAACCCGACTTGGGTTTACTTGAACCCGGGTTGGGTTGAATGAACCCGAATTGGGTTCACTTGAACCCGGTCAGATTCAAATGAATCCAGTTTAAATTTTTTTGTTTTTTTTAATCTTCAAAGGTGAGGCCATGCTTCTATCTTTATTAAAATTCAATTAAACTTCTTTACAAATTATAATAAAGAATTATATTATTTTTATATTATTTGTTTTTTTTTTTTTTTTTATCTTTGCAATATTATAGAAAGGTGAATTTTTATTAGGCATTTTAGTAGTACATTCTTGGTTAATGAGAGTACATATAGCCACATGTACAACTTTTGGTTGCCTATTTAAGTAGTCCGCCCAAAGGTTTTACACTATATGCTATACCTGTAACCTAACTAGGAGATTATCCATTTAAACTCTCTGATGTCCTCTATCCTGCACCACTGTTATAGTGATTTGAATCAGTTGGGTTATAATTGGTTAATCGACCCAAACTAAATAATTTTCGGTTAACTAGTTGAGGAAATTCTTAATTAGTTGACCTAATACAACTGTTTGAGAATTGGGTAATTGGTTGGTGGAATTAATATAATATGAAAATGACATAAGAAGAGAGTAAAGGATCTGAAAAGTTTCGAAAAGAAAATGAATGAACATAAAAACAAGAGAGTAAAGTTCTAAGAATTTCTGATGGTAGTAGATAGTTAATCTTAACCAGTTGGCAATCAGTTAAATGAAATAATTCAGTTTGGTTAATCGATTAAGGAAATTTTTCTTGGTTCAAATCACTACATCATTACAATTATGTCAGCTTATAACCTCATGCTGCTTCAATTAAAGGTCATCTAAATCGACATGTGTTATATTACTTGATTCTGATTTTATAGATAATTTAGTAGGGTTCTTATACTACTAGGTTGCTCTAAGGGAGGTGTAGTATATACTCCTCTAATTTTTCTATATTCTATATATTTTCAGATTAGGCAACAAATACCTTCTGTAGCAGTTGAAACTACCACTAGTAGTCAGAGCTAACTATTAAACCACACAATTCCAGTATTTGGTGTTTTTACAAGGTTTATTCCAATTTTGATACCTATATTAAATCAGTCCTTATACTGATCTCTTCTAAACTACCAAACTAGTTAGCCTGAATGGGTCATTGTATCTTGGCTTTAGATGCCTTCCAGTTTTACTTCTCTTGGTTCCTAATTTCATAGCATAGAACCTTTTCCTTCAGTACAACTCCTGTGATTAGATTAGTGAATCCTTCTTGTTCCAGAATTTTTATTCAGTTCTTCAGTCTCTGGTTTTGGCTTTCCACAGTATTATTAAAAATCTTCACTATCTTCTTGCTTAAATCTTGCCAAACAGGTTTTAATTATTTCAGTTTCTTGGATTTAAATCACCCAAGAGTTTTTTATTTCAAGATAGTAGTACTAAGATTACAGGTAATATACCTAATCAATTATTGAATAATTGTTACTAGTATACAAGCCTATTTTTCTAAAAACATTTCCAGTGAGATTTGAACTCTAGACCTACTGCTTGAGGAGTGACAACTTAATCACTACTCTATGTTGTAATATTAAAATTAGAAACTTAGATAAAACTTTTGCTAATTTAAAGGTTATATGTGATCAAACCATCTAATTTAATTTGTTTTTTTTTGGCAATCCTGCCTCTGTTTATTTGAAATTAAGCTATTTAAGAATTATATATTCCTATTTGTAGCTATTGTTAATCTAATCAAACAAAAGATATACACTCAGTTTTTTGCCTAGGTGTGACCTGTCTAGTAGTCCTTAGACTCTTACTGGATCCTTAACTTACTATGGATGTATTTTCTTTAGTCACAAGCTAGTGACTATCTGCCTTGTCAGTACTGCTATTTGTATTTATTTTAACTTTGCAATTTACCTATAAAGACCAATTTGATTTTTTACTACTCTATATTAAATTCTTCATATTTCTAAATGCTGCAACTCTTGTATATTTTCTCTTCTTGTCTTTTTGCTCTTTTAATTACTTTAATTGACGATTCTCCAGTCAACTGAAGAATGATCATAGTGAAATGTGACGCGGTTCTATATATAAATTATTATAGGTGCGAAAGTAGAAATTTTCTAGTGATTGTCCAAAAAAAAAACTTTTTTTGTACTAAGTTAAT